GATGATGCTTTAGACTGGATTACGGGATCTCAGTGGTTCAGCTCTCTCGATCTGCGGAGCGGCTATTGGCAGGTGGAACTGGCCCCCGACGCAAAGCCCAAGACTGCCTTCACCATTGGCCAAGGGCTTTGGCAGTTTCGGGTGATGCCATTTGGACTTTGTAATGCCCCAGCCACATTTGAGCGTTTAATGGAGAGAGTCCTCGCTGATGTTCCCCGGAGCCGCTGCATCGTTTATTTGGATGACCTGCTGGTGCATGCAGATGGGTTTAAAAGGGCCCTAGCCAACCTCAAGGAGGTGTTTGGTGCCATCCGCCAAGCCGGACTGAGGCTGAACCCCGCCAAGTGCCGTCTCATGGCTAGAGAAACCGAGTTCCTGGGGCATGTGGTCAGCGCCAAAGGAGTGGCCACCAACCCAGCCAAGGTGGCTGCTGTCAAGGACTGGCCAACTCCCAGTAACGTAAGTGAGCTGCGGAGTTTCCTGGGGCTGGCCTCATATTATCGGCGTTTCATCAGGGGCTTTGCAACCATTGCTAGCCCACTCCACCGCTTGACAGATAAGGGCCACAAGTTTTGCTGGGACGAGAGTTGCTCTGCTGCATTTGATCAACTCCGAACGGCCCTGACCGAAGCTCCAGTCCTGGCCTATCCGGATCCACACCGACCCTTTATTGTGGACACCGATGCCAGCAACACTGGGGTAGGTGCAGTGCTGGCGCAGCGAGGAGAGGATGGGGAGTGCGCGGTAGCCTACTTCAGCCGTGCCCTCAGCCGTGCTGAGCGGAACTATTGTGTCACACGAAGGGAGTTGCTGGCTGTTGTTTTGGCTGTGCAACACTTCCGCCCATATCTCCAAGGCAGCCGCTTTACCCTGCGCACAGACCATGCTTCCCTTACCTGGCTGTTAAGTTTCAAGCAGCCGGAGGGCCAGGTGGCGCGGTGGTTGGAGACGTTACAGAGTTATGACTTTGACCTCCAACACCGAGCTGGGCATCACCATGGCAACGCTGATGCGCTCTCCCGACGACCCTGCAAGATGTGCAGCTACTGTGACCGCCAGGAGGAACGAGACCAACTGCCAGCTGTGGCGGCCTCTTCTGTGGAGGGCCTGGAGTCGCAGTCCCCGATGGAGCTACAGCAGCTACAAGAGGCAGACAGGACGCTGGCTCATGTAAAAAGCTGGTTGGTAGCGAGCAGACAACCGGAGTGGCCAGAAGTGTCAGCTCACAGCCCAGAGCTGAAATCGTACTACTCCCAACGGAACAACATTGAGCTTCATGACGGTCTGCTGTACAGGCGGTGGCAGGCTCCAGACCGAGGATCCAACATCCTTCAGCTGCTGATTCCCCAAGTGCTCCGCTCTCAAGTCCTCCAACTGAGTCACGGTTCGGCAGCCTCGGGCCATTACGGGATTACGAAGACCCTTCGCCGGCTCAGGGCGCGGTTCTATTGGCCTGGTTGTCGCACCGATGTGGAGTTATACGTCCACTGCTGTGACAATTGTACCGCCCGGAAGGGTCCAACCCAACGCTCCCGAGCACCGCTTAAGCAATACCTGGTGGGAGCCCCAATGGAACGGGTGGGAGTGGACATCCTCGGGCCGTTTCCAGTGACTGAGTCCGGTAATCGCTACATCCTCGTGGCCATGGATTATTTCACAAAGTGGCCTGAGGCGTACGCGGTGCCGGACCAAAGCGCAGCAACCACTGCGGAGAAGCTGGTGGAACAGATGTTCACCCGATTTGGAGTTCCTGCAGAGCTCCACAGTGACCAGGGTCGAAACTTCAATCACAGGTGTTTGGTGAAGTGTGCCGGCGGCTGGGGGTGCACAAAACTAGGATGACGCCACTGCATCCTCAGAGTGATGGACGGGTAGAGCGGTTTAACCGTACCCTGGCCACGCAACTGGCAATTCTAACAAGCACTCAACAACGAGACTGGGACCGTCACCTACCCTTGGTCCTTTGGTCCTACCGCACTGCAGTTCAGGAGTCCAGTCAGTGCACACCTGCTGCCCTCATGTTTGGGCGAGAGCTCCGTACACCAGTAGATTTGGTGTTCGGGGCCCCACCAGAACCCGAGATTGTAGGTTTACCAGAGATGGACTACTACCGCCGGCTGAGGGACCGCCTTCAGGAGGTCCACGAGTTCACTCGACAGGCGCAGGCTGGCTCCGGCGTAAAACAAAAGAGGGCCTACGACACACGCTGCACGGGACAGGTGTTTAAGCATGGAGACAGAGTGTGGGTGTATTGCCCTATTCGGAAGAAGGGTGTTTGTCCCAGGCTGAGCAGCCACTGGCAGGGACCTGCAGAGGTAGTGGGTGGGCTGTCTGATGTGGTGTACTGGGTGCGCCTGCCTGGACGCCGGCAAGCGGTGGTACTGCATCGTGACCGGCTGGCACCGTACCACCCCCTTGCCCCACCGACTGTTCAGAGAGACTCTGATCCTGTTTCTGAGGAGCCAACACAGCACCAGACCGTCGCAGAGGACAGTGGGCGGCCGGCGCGGTTGCGCCGACTTCCTGTTCGTTTCAATGATTTTGTTATGACTGATGGGGTCGCCGGGGACGTCTGACCACTTAGGAGGGGGCTATGTAGTGGCTGGACGAAGAGGTGCATTATGGGGCACTGTTTTGGGTTGTTTGCTTGTTTATTTCTTTGTTATTCTGTTTGAATGTTGCTCATGTTATTGATTGTTCATATTTGCCTCAGTTCATGCTGTTTTGGGGGTGTGTGTTGAGGGCATGTGAGTTTCACCCTGAGTGATAAGGCTGTTGGGTTTACTGAAGTGTTGTGCTGCATCCCTAGCGGAGTTGTTGAAGAATAAATAAACACTGTTGAAATCAGTCAATTAAGCCTGATTATTTATAACACTCGCCGGCGTTACAATTCTTTCAAAACTGTATTTTTTTTAAATTAGAATTACAGACAGTCTTGTTCCATAGTACTATGAGGGCAGGCAGGGCTAATTATTGAGATGAGGATGTGAGTTTAATAGACATGGGTTTAGGATGTGGCTGCTAGCTTAGCTGAGCCATATTGAGACATGGAGGGATTTTATAGATACATATAGATTCTAAGCTGGCCTGACATGGTGCTGCAGAGGTGACAAACAACAGCATATGCATAAATGGCTTGCATTTATATTTTTAGATGGGACCACTAATAAAGCCTGAATAAGTGACATAGGCATGCATCCATACAGTATGTGCTGTTTGTACCATCAAGACTACAATAGCCATGGTTCAACCATTTAGAGTAGCTTTTAAGAATAGATAAATATTGCAAACCTAAATCTCACATAAGGTAAAAATGTACAGTAAAATAAAAATAACACATGATAGGCTGTGATTTTACAGTTAAATGCAATGAGAGTTTATTTTGAGGTGTGTTGCAATTAAAATTCCTGGGTAGAGTGCCAGTCTATTAGGTCTGAAAGACAGAAAGCATTTTCTCCTGGTTTTCTAAATCTAGCTAAAAAAAATAAGCAAATAATGTTCTATATACATACACATATACATATAAGCTCCCATTTAAATTGGAGAGTCTGATGTCTCTCTTTTCATCTTTGGCCTTTTGCACTGATGTGGTAATTTATTGTTTTTTGTATAACATCATGGAATGGCTTCAGGAAAGACTTTAGCATACTTACCTTTAAACGTCTCTAAAAGCCACAGCTCCTTCAGTATATTAATTTGAAGCTGCTCCATGGGCTGCAATATTTTAATGCAAAACTTTAGAACTCTCTTTGGCACTTTCTGCCACAGTTTTTTTTATTCACCTAAACACATTACCAGACCACTCCCTGACCAACAAAAAGATTGCAAAGAAAAAAAACAGTGGCTGATAAGAGAGAAAAGTCACTTGACAGCTGTTCTGCTTGGTCTCGTTTATTAGAGGTATATTGGCAAACATTTTACACACTCTTGCTTAAATGTTTCCATTCATAGAGGAAAAAGCATCACTGTAAAACACTCACGAAGCTGAGCAGGCAACATGTTTAAAGCCTCTGTTTTAAAAGGCACTAAAGGCCGAGATTCACATCATACACATGCAAACACAACTATAACAGAGACACCTGTGTTACACATTTCAGCTGCTAGAACACACAGAGCTTTCAACTGATGTGTTAGTTCAGTTTCTGGAGGTAATATCACATATGTTTGCTATCATGTGTTGCACATCATGTGAAGCGTCAAACATAGTTAACTTCATGTTTAAACGTTTAATACCAAACATTTGTTGTGATGTAAAGCTACCATTAAGTACTTCATGTGGCTGGCTTTCATGTTTGCTGGATACTCTGAAGAGTGCAGGCATTTTAAAGATTTCTATATTAAATACACAATGCTGCTGTTTCTTTAAATACATAATGTGTCTTTTAACTTAGAGTTCACTTATGCAAAATCACCATTACATGAATTTTTGCAAAATAAATTTACAAAATGGTTTTGTTTTTAAATAATAATGATAGTAATACATTCAAATAATAGCATGTGAATTCCTCCACAATATTGTTTAAATAGCTTGCAATGCAGTGGTTGTTTGTATGGTACAGTCATTCATTATTTTAGCTTTTATATTTTAGCCATATTTATATTTTAAACACAGTCAGTTATTCAGGTCAAGTCAGGCAGAACTATTTCATGATTGTTTGGATATTACACAGGGGATTATATCTCAGGAGAACATAGATGGTATTAAATATTTATTTCCCCAAGTCCAAAATGATCCGCAAGTCTTTGAACCCAAGTCCATGTCAAGTCTCAAGTCTATAATGGCAGAAATTATCATCCTCACATTGAACGACTGCAGTCCAGTTTTCCCAGATCTTCCATACGTCAAACTGTCGTCTTTATGTCTAATTTAAAACATAAACATTTAACATTTTTAGAATATTAAGAGTAAAGTTTTTAACTTGTAAAAAAAACTTCTGTTATTTACTGCTGTGAAATATAAAAAAATAAAAAAGGTATATTTTCTCAACAAATATATAAATATGTACTTATATTAAAAGAAAACTCTGAATAACACTGAATTCCTGAATAAATCTAACAGAAAATGCTTTTGTTCTGAAATACAGTCGTACTTCTACTCGTATTCATCGTCTTCCTATGATCAGGGACCCGGGTCACTGGGACAGCAGTTTCAGCAGACATTCTCAGACTTTCCTCTCCTCAGACAGGTCCTCCAGCTCTGCTGGGAGAAGCCCCAGGTTTTCCAGAGCCAGAAGAAAGACATAGTCTCTCCAGTATGTCCTGGGGTTTCCAGGGGGCATCTGAGAAGGATGTCGAGCCACATCAGTAAACTCTTGATGTGGAGGAGAAGCCCTACATTAACCCTATCATGCATGGCCAACCCCTTTACCCTTTAATGGAGAACCCGGCCACCCTGCAGAGAAAGATGATTTCAGCCGCTTTTATCTGGGATCTCGTTCTTTTGGTTATGATCCAGATTTCATCATAATTGGTGGGGGTAGAAGTGTAAAATGATCGGTAAATGGAGAGCTATTTCTTTTGGCTCAACTCTTTTTCACAAGAGACCAATGTAGCATCTGTACTATAATGGCAGCTGCATTAATCCTTGTATTGATCTTAGGTTTTAGATTAAGTTTTTTGTACAGATATAGTTAGCGTCTCTTAATCCTTCAGCTAAAATAGTTAAATTATTTTCTTTATCTTAGGTTGCACAGCGTTATAGGCTTTTCATATTTTGAGTAATAAGATGCACAAAATATTAGAATATCATCTGTTAACTCTACATTAAAAAGCTCTATTGTGAAGTCAAAAGTAGGTACTCAGAAAAATCACAATACATAGAGTAAACATAATGTGGGGAGTAAAGAAGAGAACAGGAAACTCTTTTATATTTAAGAACTTAGTGTTTTTGCAAAGGTGCTACCTTACTAGTAAAGGATTAAGCTGTCAGAAGCAGACGTAAGTCAGGTTTATCTTGTTTTAAAATGGTCCATATACATCTAAAAAAGTGTTTAGACAATTAACCATGTGATCATTATTTTGAACCTACAGCTAATAGGAATAATTTTTTATGAAGCATTAATAGTCCACACTGCAAATCATGATGGTTAATAAAATAACTCCTTTACTAGAATAAAATAAACATCTTGACACACTTGAAAGCTGCTGCTTTTACAGGCACATACTGTTTACGTGTATTTAAGAATATGTGAACAGTCATATGTGTAAATTGCGGTAACCCATATGGCTAAGTTTGGTCAACATTTACATTCATATTTTTGCCCAGGAAAACATTAAATTAGAATTTTTCCTTAGTCTTAAGTCCAAGATCTTGGGTTCGAGTTGAGTCTAAAGGCTTTAGAGAGAGAGAGTCTGAGTCAGGTCTGAAGTCACTGTTTTTTCATTAGTCCTCATATCTGCTCCTTCTACTGTTTATAAGTTTGTCTGCCTCCTTTTACCTGCATTTTCTGACTTGCAATTGTTAATGGCACCTGTTGTCAAAGCATTTGATGTTAAAACATTGGCCTCTCACAGTGGGACTAGTAGACCGGCAGTGAATAATGTAAACTGCTGCAAGATTGCAAAATGATAAATAGAGTCACTCCTGGCAGTTTATTTCTTTCATCAATATGTCCGCTTATCTGTTATCCGCATGTCGCATGTTCTTTGTTTCCAATTTTCTTATACTTTAAACTCTTTCTTTCCATCTAAACTCTTAGTTCTAATAATAAGTTAGCTGCTCTATCCCATCATCTCCACCCTCTCTGCTTACATTTCCAATTGCTACTTTTCTTTCAGTCTCTGTCTGTTTGCAGTTTTCTGGCTGTCTTCCATCCATTTGATTCTCTTAACCTCCTCTTTGCTTCCTTAATGGCCCACTGTCAGTGTCACTGTGTCCAAGCCTTCCAGACCCTTCTACCAGCAGCCGCAGCTCTCCACTACCATGTCTTGGTAATTCTTCAGCACGACTCTATCAGCATTGTCCAGGTAGAGCAGGGCAATGGGGCTGAGGGATGTTGGGACGCAGCAGGCCCGAGGAACTGCTCCATTTACAGAGTTCACCATGGTTTGGACTACAGCATGGCTGGAGGCATTCATGTGATCAGCCAGAGGGTAACGGCACTCTCCTAAGCAGAAGAAGGCATCATAGCCACTGGGCGCAATGATCCACTTATGCCAGCCCACATCACTAAAATCTACATATAAAGGATGACGCCGGCACCTGCCTCTGGAAAGCCGCTTCAGTTTAGATGGGCCGCCATTTCTTTTCACCCTTCCACGATCATTCCAGCTCACTCCTCCTTTATCATCCCCCCAGCTCTTCAGAGTATTACCATTTTTCCGGGCCTTTCCCAAGCCTTGGTCCCAATTATGGACTTTCCCGCTTCTTTTGGTCTTCTTGTTTGACCCTTTTCTAGACTTAATCCACTTGCTACTACCAGGTGTTCTTCTGCCATGTTTGACTAAAGGCTCTCCATGACCATCATGACTGTAGGTCACCAAGAGGGGTCTCTCCTGGGCCCAGGTGTGATCGTCCTGCCCCACAGACCTGCACACCCTCAGGTGTCTATCTTTGTGCTGCTCTGCCTGATCATCACCTGCAGCAGAGGAGTAACTCTGATCAGGTGAGGTGGTACTGTTATCAGGTTTGACTTCCAACAGGAAGCCCAAGCTGCCAGTTCCACCTTGGGCTTTATGCAGGAGCTCTGCATTAAGGCTAAATGCCTCCCACAAACCCCCACCTTTATGGCTACGGGGGCCATTAGTGAGTAACCTTGTTTCAAGCAAAGTGGGCTCAGGATCTTCATGGTGTTTAGAGAGGTAAAGGTTTAATCTGTGGGGTCCAGAGCCAAGAAAGCCAGGGTCACTGCGAAGTAGGCGGAGCTCAGCAGAGAGAACCTTTTCATCTTGAGGTATAGAGGAGATATTGAAGGAGATATGCACGTGTGTCTGATTGTTTGCTTTTATACTGTCTTCAAGGGGCTCTGTGAGGAAAAAAAACAAAACAAGGGAAGAAATAAACTTAGTGTAATTACCTCACAAAAAAACTAATAAATTACATTATGAAAATATAGGCCGTGTTAATTTCATCAACAGCAGCATAAGATACTCTTTTTAACAAAAAAGATAAATACTTTTTATAAGATGTCATCAAGAATGACAGGTATTTTGTTATCATCCAGTAACCCTTTCCAAGTTCTGCTGGGACACCAGCTAAGAAGTAAACAAAACCCTTATTTTCATAAACTGAGTTAAAAAAAAACACTAGTCAATGCTTGCAATTAAACACTGAATATCCACTATGCAAGCTTCTAATTACCTAAGAAAGTTAGCATGCAAGTTATTTTCCCTGATGTTTATCCTAAGCAAACAAAGAAAAGGTTATTAGTATCACATAAGGACTATGAAATATAATGAAAATAGAAATTTCTGCGCTTGAATTTAACTGTGTACCGTGATAAGCATTACTAAGCATTTTAAACTGCAACCGTAGTAAAAATAAAAACCTATAACCTTGTAAACATTTCACTGGTTTTATATGTTAGACTAGAGGATCACAGAGTAAGGCTGCAAAATAATAAACTCAGACCTAAAAATATATTATTTTCATTTAAATATGTAATAAAAAAAACTTGGAGCCTTTGAATAATTTTCGTCTTGAGCTTTTTAAAATGCTTCTATATTCCTTTATTTGTCTTTTTGCAGGCCTAAGAAGATCTTTGTGAGATTTTGAAATATAACCACTTTAAATAGCTGTGCTGGAGCAACATAATTTTAAAAACAAATAGGACATTCATGCTTAGGGACTGGTCATGACTCACATCACTGGTCTTTTAACTATATTCATGAAGTGGACAACTCCAGTCCTTGCAGGAAAGTGTGTTTGATCCAACAAGTGATTTAAATCAGGCAAAATCTCCTCAGACTACCTACAAATTAGGCCGTAAGTTTAATGAAGTGTGTTCATACAAGGACCATGCAGGGGTCAAGTTCACAAGGACTGGTATTTCCCATCCACAAGGGTCATACAACATACATGGTTACTTCTTTTAAAGAAATCGTAAGCTCAGAAGCTTGCAGGTGTTCTTGGTGACATTGGAAATGTTGATATCACCAGCAATGCAAGCAAACTGTCCTCTTTTTAGTACTGATAAGGAATATTGTTTCTTCAAGTAACCATGACAAGAATGGCCAGACACACCTGGATTATTTAGTTTGCCCAGTATTCAAAAAAAGTCGGCCCACTGGACTTTGTTTCCAAGTTTGAAGACGTTTCGCTTCCCATTCAGGAAGCTTTTTCAATTAAAATTTTCAAAAATAGAGCTGAGTTTGAGGGACTCTTGTTGGGCTACTCTATGAAGCCTCGAACTCAACACTATTTTTAACATTTTAAATAAAATAAAAAAAGCTTCCTGGATGGGAAGGCAAGCGTCTTTAAACTTGGAAAAAAAAGTCCAGTTGATTGATTGTTTTTAAACAAAAACTTTTTTGGAATGACTACAAAGTAACAAAGGAGCTGGTTGATATTCTGACAGTAGCAGAATGGAGGATATAGACAATGAAGGACTTTTCTCTTTTCTTTATTAAAAAATGGGATGTTTTTGATCACTTCTAGATATCACTTATATCATAGTTTTATTTCCCTTTTTTTAAATCCCTTTTAAGCATTCTTTCTACATACAGTGGTTGTTTGTATTGTTGATTATAATGTTAGCAATGGAAAACTCTCAAGTTTTCATCCTTTTCAATTGAGTGTGCATATCATTCACCAAAGTCAAAACTAGAACACCAACTGAAAAGCCTAAAACCTGTTTTAAGGTTGATGTGTCCACAATAACTGTGAAGAAAATTTGCATGATTTTAGCAAACATGCCAGGTGAAGACATGCCTGATTTTCCTTATCTTGCAACAATAGAAAAATTGTAACTACATGGACAGTTTCGTACAGAAAAACCTATCTGACCTGAGATGCTAACACAACTGCCATAGTAGTCTTTGAGCTTCTTATTTTGCTTGCCTGATTTTGGCTTTGCTTACACAGTGGTTTCCCAATTAAAATTTTCGTCAATGATGCCATTTCGGCCGAGTCTTTTTCTTGTTGAACTATTAAAACTGACCTTAACAGAATTAAGTTATCATTACAGTGCTCTAGATGTTATCTTGGTATCTATGTGACCTCTTCAATGAGCTGTCAATGTCCTCTTGGAATAATTTTTTCAATTTTCTAATACTTCAAGTTTATACAATAAACAAAGATTAGACCAGAAATTCTGGGCTAAGGAAAACATGCACGATAAAAAACTGGGTAAAAAGGAGTTACACCTGATTTTGAAATTGAAAATCCACGTTTAAGACAGTTAAGGCATTGCTTACCATTGTGGTGAAAGCTGCGAATAGTGTTAGCTTTCTGAATGTGATGGCTGGGAAAGCTAAACAATGGGTCGTCCACTAGATGGTACTGCTGCTGGTGGAAGCGATAAAGATCAAGGAGGTACTGTGGCACTGACACCCCAGGCCTGGGGTTCGGCTGGGACTGCAGACCCAGCCGGTTCAGGAGGAGAGACTGGATGGTCTCAGCCAGCCCAGGATCAGGCAGTGCTGTTGTGGAGGAAGGGGAGGAAGGAGTAGGGGGCACCCTGCCATTGTCAGTCCCATTGGAATCTCCACTCTGGCGACCCGATGAGGCTTGAGGTAGCAGCAAGACCATGAGGAGCAGGAGGTTAGCGGGGAGCATGGTGGACCTAAATAAGAAGGAAATAAATTGCCTAAGAAACTTGTTTTACAATGTCTTGTAATAGTATTCATTCTCTTATGGCTTTTGTACATTTTGTCACATTACAAATACAAACCTTGTTGTATTTTATACAAATTTCATTGGATATTCTCAAAAAAACAAGTGCAGAGTGTTATTCCAAAATGGAATTATATTTTCAATTTTTGCTGATAAAAAAATTGTGGCATAGATTTTTATTAATTTCTTTTGAGTCAACACTTTGGAGAATGACCTTTTTCTGCTATTATTGCTGCTCAATCAGCTTAGTAGATCAAGACTGAAATGGTTGCCATTTTATAAAATAGCTCAAGCTTAGTGAGATTGGAATTAGAATCTTTATATGCATCTATTTCCAGTTTTCTTTATCACATTCTAAGTTGCTTTTTATATCCTTTTTTCAGAGATGGCAAAAGTACTCACTTTCCGTACTTGAGTAAAAGTACAGATACTTGTGTTAAAAAATACTCTGGTAAAAGTGGAAGTACTGATTAAACTTCTTTACTCAAGTAAAAGTAACAAAGTACAGGCTTGTAAATTTACTTAAAGTATAAAAGTTAAAGTAGAAACCACTTTTTTCATGCCGTTGCCTACATTTTAAATGGATGTCTGCCAATAGGACTAGATTTCCGTTGTGTTCATTTTCAATCATCTCGTCGTCCATACTACTATGCTAATGCCACTGCCACCAAGCTGCAATGATTTGCCGCAAATCAATACCGCCGAATCTGTCGATTCATCTTGTAGTGGTGCGTCAAATGCAACGTAGATTCCCATCCAATTAGATTGAATTTGGTATTGATAACGTGAAAAATAATAACGGTAATTCCATTGAAATGATTCAAAACTAAAGTAACGAGCCAATATTTTAAAATGTAAGGAGTAGAAAGTACAGATATTTGTGTAAAAATGTAAGGAGTAGAAGTAAAAAGTCGCCATAAAAATAAGTAGTAAAGTAAAGTAAAAATATCAGAAAAATCTACTTGAGTACAGTAATTAAGTATTTGTACTTCGTTACTTCCCATCTCTGCCTTTTTTTAACTTGTCTATTCTAACACTAACAAACTTGTTCTAAATCATTGTCCTGGCTGTACTTTAAGGGTTGTTGTATTTCAGGGAGATTAACATTTTTGTCTGTGTACATTGCTTTTCTTCATGTATTTAATTCTATTTATCTCAGACAAGTTACCTTGTCCCTACTGAGAAAAAACCCCCCAAAGATGTGTTAACATGCATGTACTTTAGAGCATGGTTGTTCAGTTTCAGTCATTAAGATCCTGTTGTCCTGCACCTTTTAGATAACTCTGTTTCAACACATGTGAGTTAAATAATCATGTCAGGATTGAAGCATGACTTAAAACTAAGGGGGTAATTCAGCCATTTGTTTGTGTCTCTGCTGCCACATACCTACGTACTGTAGCAGCAGAGATACGAATAAATGGTGCCAGACAACTTGTGGCTGCAATTACAGACCCCTGATGTATTGTTAATTTTTTTGTCATACCATTGTCTGTTGGGTTAAAATTGGCATTTTTCACCACCGGTTGCACAGAATCTCACATGAATTTGTTTCTTTTTGTCACTCTGTCATTAAAGCCAGATTTTTGGAAAGTATGACTAATGATTACGACAAGAAATGTGTTCACCAGAGCTGTGAATCTCTGTAACCCCACTCCAGCAATAGGCACACGTCTTTTTATCTGATTACTGAACTATCAAAGCTGGTCTTTTCCTCCATGATGCAAGGAGGCATCAGTAAGCTCATCTTTAACCTATTGTGAGTATTAACCTATAGACAAACGAAGCAGCTTTCCCATCTTTTTCCCATTTCCCATTTTCCCAACTATGGCTACAATATGGCTGACCATCGATAGTGTGAGTGTATGAATAGGTGAAGACTGAATGTTGTTTAAAACTCTTCAGGGTTCTTGCACCTGATAGAGTGCTAGTTTAGACCATTTTCAATCTAACATGAAACATTTTTAATTTAGGTTCAGTTTAATATTTTTTTCCTTTTTTGAATCCTTAAAGATTGAAAGAAACAAAACAAACAACAAAATATTTGATCATTTGTTTTCAAGCATTTTGTAGCTCCAAAAACCTCAAGTATCTAACATTATGATTGCCTGGCTTGCCATATCTTAGATTTGCAATTGTGCCATAGTATTATCTCTGATCTGCCTGATGTTATTGTTAGCTTTTATGATCTTATATGCTCTCTGATGTTTTCTACCAAAACTTTTGAGGCCTTAAATGAGATTTGCACAAAGTTACCGTCTACTTGAAACCTCTTGCAAATGCTTATGTCACAGCTTGGCCACTATGGTTATCAATGGATTGTCGTCTAGCAGAGCCTACACCACGCTAAAGACAAACCATACTGTTTTCATGGGTTGTTCCAAGATGGTGGAATGACCTACCAAGTGAAGAACAGCAGTGTTCCATTCTATCTTTAGGAAATTTTTACAAACAAATCCCTTCAAAGAGCATCTCTTACCCATACCTCTGTACCCCTCTCACACTTTTTCTTCACTTCACTCTCTCTCTCTTTGCTGTCAACACTAATTCTGACTGGGGAGATCCCTCTTGAGAACTTACTGTCATACTAATGATAACTGTAAAATTGTGTTTTCTTTGTAAGTCCCTTTGAAATAAAAAGTATCTGCTAAATTAATAAACATAAACTTAAAGTAAACACATATGGGATGTGTACTCTTAGAACAGGAAATCTGAACAGACCTGGCCTGTAGTTGTTATATTTAGAGGTGAGGATAGGTTAAATACACATGTATATGTTGTTTAAGATGTCATAAAAAAAATCTAAATTAAAAATACTGAAGTTAATGGTTTCTCTATGACAAAATAAGAGTTGGAAAGTGGGAGTATTTTTACGAGGCACTCCAGGTGTCTTAAACATTTGTTTCTGGATCATTTCTGTTAAGTGCAAAAACCTCCCAAACAAATGAATCACATGATAATATAAAGCACTGGTTAAGAAATCTGCAAAAGCGATAGTCCTTTACAAGGTGTTCCAGCTCTCTGTATATCATGCTCATGTCCCTCTACTTCCTGGACACACTAGTTTCTCATTAGTCTTCAGCCCTCATGTGGCATATGTTCAAGAAATTTACTGTCTACAAATCCATACAAAGCTGTTACTTTTTCATTCCTGCCTACCTTGTCTTATTTTTCTTTTGCAATTTATGGTGAAGCTCCATACCCGCAAGGCCCATTTATCTTAACAGACACCTCGGCATGAGCAATTAGGAAGCCTCGCACAGGAATATAATAATCTGTGTTTGTTGTCAGAGAGCTAGGCATAAAAGCTTTCTAACATTAATCAGAGGTTGTTGACTCTGGTGGCATGTTATGAAGTTGTAAAGACCTGCCACAATGACACATGACCTGGATTTTGTTCCTCTTTCTTTTTAAATCACTAGAGAATAAAGGTATTAGAGCAGTAAGTGGCTTTCCATAACTTTTAGTATATGCTTCAGAGTGAGGACATTTCCTAAATGCCAAATAATAGATCTTAATAATCTTAAAATAAAAGGGTTAGCGTTTGAGTTGTTCATGTACGGCAGTAGTGTTGTATCTATCTGTATATGTATATATATATATATATATATATATATATATATATATATATATATATATATATATATATACTCTGTGTATGTGTGTGTGTGTGTGTGTGTGTGTACTGCTTGTCCAAAGTAAAATCGTAATGAAAAAAGTAGTAGTTAACTAATTAATGAAAGTCTAAAAAGTAATCTCCATGTTTGTCTTAATGTAGAACCTTTTAAAGTATTCAAAGCTTTCTATATCTGGGGGCGAAAGTGGCGTGGGATGCAGGAGTTTGCCCTGAAACCAGAGGGTTGTCGGTTAACGCCCTGGCTCCGGCTTTTAGTGTTATTGTGTCCTTGGGAAAGGCACTTCTCCTGTATTGTCTATTGATGGTGGTTATAGGGACTGGTGGTGCCAGTGTATGGCAGTGTTGCTTCTGTCAGTGAGCCCCAGGGCAGCTGTGGCTACAATGTACCTTACCCCCATTAGGGTCTGCTTGAATGGGTGAATGACTGAACATAGTGTAAAGCACTCAAGTCTCCTTAATTGAAAAAGTACATTATAAATACAGGCAATTTCTTTTTTTTAATCTGACGTCCTTGTATTTTATTTTATTTTTTTGTATTTAGAGGGTTTTTGTGTCCCACAGTGAAGATGGCCAATAGAGGACACTAGTACGCTGCCCCACCCACCCAATGACCATGATTAAGACATAAAAAACCCTATTAAATTATGATATTAAAATATTTTGAGATATATTGATATTTATTTTTTAGATGTGCAAGATAAATATTAAATCTTTAATGATGAGTAAAGCTGTTTCTTTTTCCTACAGTACGCTTTAAGTCTGTTAAAGCAAACTGGAGGTGAAATTATTTGGACCTGATCATCCAAACATCCAAAACTCAGCAGTCCAAATACAGATTGAGACAGTTCACACAGTCTTTTTCCAGGACCTGATTTAGCTACAAGGCTTGGCTAACTGCATGCAGTGAGGCTTACGCTTTATTCTGCTCTCCTGCCTCCTTTTTGAAACTTCAGGATCTGATCCAGCATGTATAATGGCAGGTAGGACTGATTTAAAGCACTTTTTAGAAGAGGCAAAGAGAATGAGCAATCTGGGATTCACATCTAAAATAATGTATATAGTGTACGTTTGTTATTGTGCATAGTTGCTCTTAAATAAGCATATTCTGAGAAAATAAATAGTTCTTATATATTAAAAAAATGTAAAGCTGACTAATATCTTCTCCATTATTAAACTGGTACATTCTCTTCTGAAGGTTTGTGACATCATATTGGACCATGCAAAACACAGATTTGCCTTCACAAAGATTCAGAAGGGAAAAATGTATGTAAAAAAAAAAAAGGAAATCTGCACATTAAATTATGGTTTGTTTTTAT